TTGGTTTCGGAACTCCACTTGGGGTTCATAGCAATTGCAATAAGTGTTATATCGCTGAAAGTGTGGCCTGAGGTAGAAAAACGGTTCTGTGACCAGGCTTTTGTACAGCTTTTTTGTGATCCAATCACATCTATGAAGGTTGATCTTTTTATATAGCTTTCCAGTTTCCAGTTTCTCCAGCATACCGAAGACAACAAATCTTACATGTAAAAAGATAAATTGATAAATTACATTCTCAGTTTTGCACGTTTTGTTTGGACTATGTATGTTTAGTTTGTCTCTAGTCATTGTGCTAGAAAATGTCCTGGTCTCCATCATATGTTGACAGGTTTTGCATCTTTTATCGCCACAGGGACCAAATTGAATAGGTTGGTCTTAATTAGTTTTTGGCATTATCTTCGCTCTGATTAGGATTCCTTGAGCTTTTTTTTTTGTCTCCGGTAGAACACTACAGGTTTGTTCGTAAGGATTAGCCTTAGTGCGTGCGACGATTCAACCATGGGCCATTGTTTCGCAATGATTTTACCTACTTTTGGGTTGTCTAGATGGTAGATCAGGATAAATGGTATCCTATCAGCCTTTCCTTTACTCCATATTTTAGTAGGTTAACGCGGTTTGTTTGTTTAGCCCTTCGGGTTGCCTCTGCAATCAGGACTTTGTCGTAGGTTCGGTACTTTAAATATTTAGATAGCTCTTCAGACCATTTTAGGAATGTTTTTTCGTTGGAGCAAATTCTGCGTATCCTCAGTGACTAGCTATATGGAATATACCTAACGCAGTGTTTAGATGACAACTGGTGGGGAGGAGATACTGGTGTATGTCGGTATTGAGTGTGTGATGAATGTTCGGCACCTATTCGAAAAGATATCATCGAAACTTTCCACGGATGTCAGAAGGGTTGGCACATATTTGCATCGCGCACTTTGCACAAACAGCTAGCCTGATATATATATATATATATATATATATATATATATATATATATATATATATATATATATATATATATATATATATATATATATATATAAAGAGAGAGAGAGAGAAAAGACAGACACACAAGCAGAAGGAAGAGGATTGTATTAAAACAGAACAATGGCACGTTTTTGAAGCTTGTAACGTGTTCTGGTTGTGGTCATATATATATATATATATATATATATATATATATATATATATATATATATATATATATAGTGTGTCAGGGATTGATTAAAATAGATGCAATAAACTGATGACGAACTGTGCGAAACTAGTAACTAATTAGCCTGAGCGCTTTCGATTCTTAATGAGTCTTTTTCAAAGGCAAATACAAAACATATATAAGACAAACAAATAAACACAAAAACGTTGTGTTTGTAAACCTGAACATGGCATTCTCCACATGAGGTAAAATTATAAATACAACCAGCTTGTATAGACTTGTTGCAGATACTGGAAACTGTATATAATTCCCTAAAAGTCTTCAAGCCAAAGCGACATCTATTTTTACTTTTTGTACATTTATGTAACGCAGATTATATCCCGGATATTTGATTCTATACCGGTTATTCTTATAGTAAAAATTGAAGGATACTAAGAAGATTTAGAAAAAGTTAAATTCTACTAGTGCATAGTTTTCTTTTTCTAGTCTTCTTGGTTTAGACCGCTTGGTTTCAATGTTCTAAGGCGGCGTATCCAGTATGATTCCTTTTCCTTCCTGGTTTCGGAACTCCATGACTGTGTAAGGATTTGGTATGCAAATTATTTGGTACATATTTGGTATCCATAATCTAGGATAAATAATAACGCTATTAAGCAGTAATAATAAATACTACTACACAAAAGATCGTGCATATCAACATTATGTCTTGATTGATTGTTTATTGTTTAAACATATTTTATTGCTGTAATAGGATACAATGGGATCGGGTACAAGTGCGAATAACTTAAATAAGCCCTCTCCCTACATGATACAAGTATTGCAACATATTCAGCATGACGATATAAAAAATGAATAATGATGTGAGTGTGTGTGTGTGTGTGTGTGTGAGAGAGAGAGAGAGAGAGAGAGAGAGAGAGAGAGAGAGAGAGAGAGAGAGAGAGAGAGAGAGAGAGAGAGAGAGATGTATATAACATAAAGGTAAATTTCTCATCAACTCAGCTCTTTCCTTTCTCTTCTGTGTTTGGGACAGAAAATGAAAAAGTGAATGGAGGTATCAGACCCTCTGCTTGAATGAAAAGGAGTGTCAGCAAGTTGATCACGGTAAAATCAGCTTTTAATGAACTTATACGTGTCATAATTTAGTATGAATAATATCCAGTGTTTGATTAATAAAACGTCGCAGTTTACTAGATACAATATTTGGAAACGTTCTTTTCAAATCACTGTAAGACATACAACAATGAGTATCCTGTTCGAGATTACTCCACACAAAAAAAACTGTTGAAGATAGAAAAGATTATTTGGTAGATTTTAGCCCGAATCTGCAAATGACCATTTTGTTTAAACCTCGAAGGTTATAATTTATTTATTAGGAGACGAGGTGAGGAGCTAATTCAAAAATATAGTCTAGAGTTTGGACCATATTAATGTTGTGGAGTGTTATTATAAAAAAAAATTTTCGCTGGACATATTTTCCAACTAAAAGCATACCAGAAAATATCAATTATGGACATGCTTGCCAGAATTTGTTAGAAACTTTGGTGTGATACGAACCAGTGAAACTGACAGTGACGGAGATACATTAGGAAATAAAACTGTAAAAACCATAGTAGAAGAGGTTACTATATATTCACAAATTATGGACAATGCTTTCCATTATTGCAACTATTTCAAAGTCACTGTCGAAACATCTAGGAAATCACAACAGTACACACGCTCATGCAATAGTACCATGTTTGGGTGGTAATAAGTAGCCACTTCGGTGGGGTATTACATATATTGGTTAAACATTATGAAATGCACGGACGTGAACCATCTTCATGAACAAATAAATCATTTTCATGGAGACAATAAAAAAAGATAGAGATCAATGACACATATGCGATGTGTCCTTCTCTAATTACAAAGAGAAAAAGCAAGTATTAAACTTCCCAAACCATGCCCTTGCCGGAGAAGATATATCGATAAACACGCCCTAAATTTGGAAAATTGTACCTTCGTTCCAATTATTCAATAGAAAATCCAAGAAAAAATATTCTCCATAGCGACGTGTTAAGAACATTCAATAAAAAAGCGCAGTAGCAATGTGATAATCTATACTAGTTCAATCATAAATTTCCTTTGATAAATATATGGTCCAAATCAGGTATATGGGTGTCTAGCAAATACAAGTTTAACACTTAAATTAGCAAACGAACTTGAAAAAATGTTTTAAATGCTCCTGTCTAAAAGTTTATAAGTTGCAATATTAGGATAAATGTGGATGTTTAAAAACTTTTGTCCAAATGTCAGGAATCTTCGCATTTTGAATGAAATGTCTTAAATGTTCAAAATTGTATCATCACATAGCATAGTTAATGCTGTCGGAATGGATTAAGTTCAAAACTCTATAACCATGCATCATAGTGTATGCTGTTTCAATGGATTCAATTCCAAGAAACACTTAAAATAGACCAGATTTAAAATTGAAGAACACCCCCTTTTTCAGCATAAATCATCAACATTTTGCTTGGATACATTTCCAGTTGTTGGTAACAGGCTTGACATTGTGTGAATTTGTAACGTGGTCTCCTTTTGGAATCAACATGGAAGTTTTCGCACTAAAATAATAATCAATGAACTTGTCAAGACCGATTCTTTGTGATATCATGCGATAGCAAATGAGAAGCTTGAAATGAGTCCTATTTTTTTGAACTAATGTAATTTATGATATTCAATCTCTACCATTACCAGTCCTAAATGATTGAAATAATATATATCGATTGCACATCGCTCCTTTATCATACAGTTTATTTGTGATATGTAATCATATTGCTATTGAGAATTGTTTCAATAAAGCTAACGTGAGATATATATATATATATATATATATATATATATATATATATATATAGATATATATATATATATATATATATATATATATATATATATATATATATATATATATATATATACTTGGCACCAGTATATATTCCATTCCATGGAACATATACCGGTGCCAAGTATATGTCAAATTAGATTTATTTTCAATTAAGACCTTGACAAGCACAATCTCTTGATTGTTTAATTGGCAGTTCATATTTACCAGCTTACATGATTTAAAAAAATCCATTATTGTTCATATTTACTTATCAAACAAATGAGAACTCGTTAAATAGACGATACACAGACATATAGTCAAAACGTTCCAAAAGGACAGCTTCATAACACAGAGCTGTTACACTGCTGTGCATATTTGCGTTATGATTAATATTTCCTAATCATGAAGTGATTGGATTAAAAACCCTAGCCTCGGGAAAAATGAAAAAATCTGACTGATTGAAAATAGTATTCTTAACTGTTCGTAATGTTGAATATAAAGTTATGAAACAATACTGAGAACGAACTTACAACACCAGCTGACGTATGACTAGTGCTAAACTCAAAGACTCAACTGCACTTAACAGAGGAAACCTTTACAAACTCTAAATTACCACGCTCCGTACCTCGCCTTGCAAACCGCTTTGTTTGCAAATCTTCCTTTGGTGTAAGATTATTTCAGTTACCTAAATAAGGTAGAACATTTATTGAGACTTGTATACACAGAAGGAATTTTTGATTTGTAAATCCACAAAGCTCCAAGGTCAAATCAACTGGATGGAGATGATTCAGAAGTCCACTTTAATCAACAATATCGTCACATACATCATTCGTAAAGGTATAATGTAAAATTAGGAGAATGTTTCATACTGTTGTTATCAGGCACTTGTAGGAGTGATGTTTATAAGACGAAGATAAATTTATTTAATGGCCAAAGTCCTGATATAAACTTCTCGAGATGACATCGGTTTGGGACCGCTCCATAACCATAACCACTAGGATGGTCTAGTGGTTATGATATCCGCTACGGATGCGGGAGGTCACGGGTTCGAACCAAGGTCACAGCATGCCAAAGATTTATAAAAATGTTGCTGACCACCTCACTAGGCGCTCAGCCATAAAAGGTTAGTGTTAGGACTACTGGGTCTGGTGTCAGAATAGCGTGACTGGGAGGGAGATTATGCTACATATCTGCTATACATCACTACAAACTGCCACAATGCGGACATCGTAGGGAAATGACTGAACAGTTGATAAAGCTACATTAAAAAATTTAATCTCTCTCTCTCTCTCTCTCTCTCTCTCTCTCTCTCTCTCTCTCTCTCTCTCTCTCTCTCTCTCTCTCTCTCTCTCTCTCTCTCTCACACACACACACACACACACGTTTTCTGAACATGCGTTCTCTCTCTCTCTTCATTGAAGTGACGGTACAGCTATTCAAACCCTGTACCGATTAATTTGTTGATAATTGTCGTTTACCTTTTAGAAAGTGATTTAACGTGTCTGAACCAAATCGGAAAAACAGATATAGAGGAACATTACAAATAAGTGCAAGTACACGCTAACCCGCCCACTCCTCTCTCTCTCTCTCTCTCTCTCTCTCTCTCTCTCTCTCTCTCTCTCTCTCTCTCTCTCTCTCTCTCTCTCTCTCTCTCTCAAACTAGGGACGATATGGATGAAAAAAGCGTGGGAGAATTTGGTTTGTAGCATGCAACTTTGTCTCTAGACCAATCATGGTCAAGTAAACAGATCAATGGAAGGAGAAAGAATGCAATGGAGAATTAAAAATAATCCTCAGTAAACATCAAGGATAAGTAAGGTATAATAACGACTCAGATCAACCGTAAATAATATTAAATACTTGAATAACCCCTTGTTGCTTCGTAATTTTTCTTAGTATATATTTATCAATATTATCACTCGCCAGTGACTGACAAGTTGTGTGGTTAATGTTCGAGTATCTAACCATACGGTTCTCTACTTTCTTCATTTAAACTAACTTTAATGATTAAATTGAAATGACAATATAAGCCCCGATCCACTCAAAAAGATGAAAAACGAAGCAAATTATCACTTTTCGAAGACGATTGAGAAAAGCTGCAGAACTACAGTGGAACAACTTTGCAGAAGTGTTCAATCCCTCCATCAGCACATAATTACTTCAAGTCAATCATAAATCCGCTGGAAATGCAAATATGTATATTGGTATATGGAATAAGTAAAAGATATGTAAGGTATGCATCTTTGAAACACCTGTCATTGACTTTTTCAAAGGCACATACTGCACAAAGACAAGACAAACAAATAATACAGTTAAACCGTAGTGTTTGCAAAACTATACATGGATGTTTCTACAGGAATTACACCTTTAAATGTGTTATGTTTCAATTTTTATATCATCTTGTTGCTGATGCTGGCAATTTGAATTATCGTAGAAATCAATGGGCAAATAACGCCATTTGTTTCTGTGTACATTTATGTAAGTGCAAATTACATCCAGGATATTTTCATTGCTATATTCGTAATTGTAGGCTATTAAACATATTTAGAGAATTTTTCTAAAGGAAAATGCTTTGGCTGCAAGAGATAGTTTTAAGATCTGTTTTCTTGGTTTAAACCGCGTGGTTTCAATGTTCCAAGACGGCGTATCCAGTAAGATTCCTTTTCCTTCCTGGTTTCGGAACTCCATTTGGGCTTCTTAACAATTGCAATAAGTGTTATATCACTGAAAGTGTTGCCTAGACAGGAAACGTGTTCTGCGACGAGGCTTCTGTGCAACTTCTTTGTCATCCAGTCAGATCAATGAAGGTTGGTCCTTTTATGTAGCTTTCTAATTTCTCCGACATACTAAAGGCTAAAGAACTTACATGTGATGGGATAAATTACATTCTCGATTTTGCACGTTTTATTTGGACCGTGTATGTTTATGGTTTTTTTTTAGTCACTGTACTAGAGAATGTCCTGGTTTCTATCATATGTTGACAGGTTTTGCATCTAATATCGACACAGGGGCTAGATTGACTAGGGTAATCTAATATCGACACAGGGGTAGATTGACTAGGGTGGTCTTGACTAGTGATTGGCATTGGCTTCGCTCTGAATTTTCTAGCTCTCCGGTAGGCTACTATAGGTTTCTTTGGAAGAATCCTTTGGAAGGATTAACTTAGTGCTTCCGACGATTTAACCATGGGCCAGTGTTTCGCAATGATTTTACCTACATTGGGGTTGTCTGGATGATAGGTCTGGATAATTGTTATCCTATCAGCTTTTTCCTGAACTCATTATTTTAGTAGGTCATCGCGGTTTGTCGGCTTAGACCTTCGGGTTGCCTCCGCAATCAAGTCTTTGTCGTAGCCTTGGTAATTTAAATGTTTAAATAGCTCTTCAGACGATTTTAGGAATGTTTCCTCAGTGCCTGGCTATATGGAAGAATCCTAATACAGTACTTCGGATAACATATGGTGAACAGGAGTCACTGGTGTTAGTCGTGTGATTTCGAGTGTATATATATATATATATATATATATATATATATATATATATATATATATATATATATATATATATATATATATATATATATATATATACAGGCAGTGGGAAGAGGGTTGTATGCAAATGATGGCACATTTTAAAGCTTTTACCCTGTGTTCTGGTTCTCGTTGTGGGCATTTTGAGGCACAAAAAAAACAAAAATAAAAAAGAATCATTCGTATATAAACATACTAAAATTGTATGGGATGGGAATACTGTGGAGTGGACTTTGACATTAATGGATGTCCGTTACCAATCAATTAAAACTTTAACTGTCAGAACCTCAAATGAGGAAATGAAATTCCAAGAAATAACAGTAACGAAAACGAACCTAAATAATATAGTGATTGATCCAGTAAGCGACACCTCTCTCTCTCTCTCTCTCTCTCTCTCTCTCTCTCTCTCTCTCTCTCTCTCTCTCTCTCTCTCTCTCTCTCTCTCTCTCTCTCTGAAAATCAATTTACGTTGTATTAAATATTGTTAAAAATGTCAGGTATATTTACTTACCTCTTCACGATTTTAGTATTTGCTCGAAAGAGTCTTAAATGAATGCCCTGCAGGTCGTATGGTTTCAGACTTTTAATGAGCAGCCTAGAGGTTTGAAAATGTGCAATGACAAAGAAGTAAATTCTTATTATATTATTTATCTATGATAATCGTGTTTTGTCCGTACATGCTAACAGCCATCAATAATGGATCAATACTCTTATTGTGCTGTGCTTGTGTCCTCAAGTCAGACGAGAACTTCAGAGTGCCATGTATAGTTTTAATGTTTCTATGACATCGCTATGGAATGTGTTTTAAAACATAGAAATTATAAATGCAGTTTTTGTTTTGTAAGAGTATTAAGATGTCAACAAATGTGCGTGCGTGCATGTGTGCGTGTGCGTGTGTGTGTATGTGAATGTGTGCGTGTGTGATAGGTCTAACAAAATGATAGTGAGGACACCAACATGGTTAGCGTGAATAAAGACTTTGTAAAGAATTTCAGAACTGTAGCGTCGAATTCAAAGAAATCTAAAAATCAGTGGCGGTGATTAATAATTATAAGTCTTTTCAAACTTCTTGTAATTATATCTGTGAGAATATAGTTGATCAGTTAAAACTAATATCAGGAGACGAATACTCGTGTCATATTAACTCATTTGTGTTATTTGCTGTTGAACAATTACATTAAGATTATATCATCTTCCCTTAAATCCACTGTGCAAGAACAAAACCGGGACTGTGTTTAAAGATTTGGAATACATACTATTAACGCTATTAAGCAGTAATACATATACACTACTGCACAAAACATCATGCATATCATAATCATTTTCCGTTAATAAGTATCATGCAAAACCATCGTTTGTTTTCTACTACTTAGATAACTTTCAAACCATTTGTCAAATTACCTTAAACTCCGTATTACTTCAATTTAATAAATAAATACTATGTGCCAGACCCGATCGAAAGGTCTTAATAGATCACAAAATACAAGAAATTTGGAATTGTTATAATGAACTGCAAATACTATGATACATTTCAATAAGCTGAAAACATAGAGTGACAAAGAAGGAATCCTGATTGATACTAATAAAAACAGTTTTTTTGAAAGTAATTTTATACATGTTTACGAATGCATCTTTAAAAGATTTTTCCGACACGGCTAAGTAGAGACAGTGGTCAATAATTGGCCATCTCGTGTTGATCACCTTTTTTTTTGGAATAGGGAAAATGTGTGCAAGTTTCCATTTTCTGGAAATTTGTTTTACTTTAAAGCATATCTAGTGGTACTGCTATTGTTTCACAAACGACTGCAAGCATTCTATGACTTACACCAACAGGCGCAGTGGCTTTATTGACAGAAATTATGTTGATAATATCCTTAATTTCTCTTTCAGTAATAGTTTAAGTTATCAGAACATCTTTCCTGAAAAGAAAGAAGAGAAACACTGATATCATCAATAATTGAAATCGAGGTAAAATTATCAATTAATAAGTTAGCCATTTCTTTTCGTTAAGGATGCAAACAGATGCATTATTTTTTGTATCAATGAGTCGTAAAATATAATTTGCGGGATTAATCTCATTTAGAAAAGATTTTATAAATTTCCAAAATGTTTTAGGGTCATTTCTTTCAAAGTCTGAAAGAAGCGTATCAATATTATCCATATATAGTTTTTAGCATGGTGTTCACTTTATTCCTGATGTTTTTTAATTTGTTAAAGTGGATTGAACTATCACGATTGATAAAAGATATGCGTGCTTCTATCCCTTTTCGTTATCATTCTTTGTTAATTGGCTGTCCAAACACGGTAGGTCGAATTGCTATAGTTTTACAAGGAATACACAAAGTTGAAAATAACTACCAAAAATAGTATACTTTCGATAATTGAATCTGGGTGTTTTAGCATAAGAAAGTAGTCATTTTAGCTAGCTATGTACTTACACTATGTACAACGTCTACAACTACAATATTAAAAGAAACATTCAGCCACAGTACATGTAAGTAATATATATATATATATATATATATATATATATATAT